ACTGGGCATGCGCTGCGCTTGTACATGGCTGGTAAATCAGCGTGAATCCTCTTGCTGCTTGGATTTGCTTCTATGCACTGGCTCAGACGTGCCTCCTGTGATGTGCTGGTAAGGAAGACGGACGTATAAGCCCACAACAAGCAACAAGCATAGTGAAGCAAGCGGGCAACAACAACATCATCAAAAATGACTAATGACGAAATACAACAACAATATCAATACGAAAAAATATAACAAACGTTACAACAAGGACACAAGTTATGACACGACTATGAAATAAACAAATCGGAAAATTTCTAGCTCATAATCTCAGAAGTCATGAAAAACGTCGATGAGCTGGCCTGCGGCAGAAACCATAGCAACGCTGTTGCATTGAAGGCATCACACTCGACGAATGGAACAAGAGGACAAGCAAAATCAACAGCGAGCAAAGCAACAACAATGCGCAGAGGCGCGAGGGCTGCTCTGGTTCTGGTGTTCTGCTGATAAATTATTTGTGCTAGCAGAGCGTCTATACTAGCGTTTATTCTAACCAAAAAAAAACAAACTTCAACTAGTGTATAAAATTCCGATAGATGGCGGGCCGGCTATGCAAAGCATCGTTGGGATCGGTCAGCAAAAGCATTGGCAGCAATGGCAGGGCTGTTCAGTGTGACGACGAATTGCAAAAGCAGGAGCGAATAATTTACATATTATTACTATAGATAACGTGGCGTTCTATGGTGTCAGGTAATAAGGTAATTAACCCGCTTGCGAGCAGCATCTGGCTGTTAAAAATAGCTCAATGGTTGATACCACAGAGGCAGAGCAGGCTCGTGCAAGATTACAGGATTTTACAGCAATACGATAGCAAATATGCTCTAAACTATTTCAGTACGAGGTAGGCCAGTGATTTAGTGGACCGTTAATAAGGCTCAAGAAGCGTACACACTTGCGTCTATATTGTGCAATAATTTGATGAGTAAAATTAAGTCTGGGAATCGGGCAGCTACTCCTGGGTTAAATTCATTTGAGTGAGCTAGTGCAGCTTGATTCGCAACTATTCATAATGTTACGGTACAGAATCTTATATATAAGTGGCATGTCATTATCTCCTAAGTAGGGGGCGTTGTATCAAGTAGAGTTGATGTGTGGGAATTTCAGCTGTAAAATGGGAGCCGCTTCGGGACACCCCAGGTAGCTCGCCACGCAGTTGATAGAAAAAATCGCACAGTTTAACCCCTCCTCTTGAGGGTCAAAAGGTTATCGCGACCTTAATCTTGGCATGTCAGCGGAAAGTTCATTTCATGGTCCTTTTCAATTAAGCCATAAAAATGGCTAGTCAGCGCGCTGAAACAAAAGTTTTTCAATCAGCGTAGATCAGCCATGATCATACAGAAAATGTCTAAAATCTGCGCTGTGGCCCATTGACCTTGCACATGTGACCTCCAATTTCGGCAGCAGGTGATGACTTTTCGCTACCATGATGCTATCCACCGACTATCACTGTAGCCTAGGTCGAGCGTTTAGATTTTGATGATGCAATTCTGCAGTTACTCCTATACCTTAAGTTAAGGAGTGAATGTTCCGCTTCTGTTTTAACTACCTGCTTGACCTTTGACCTTTTGACCCGCCCAGCTTCGCGGACATCCCGAACTCGTTTTGACGATGCCCCCCGCCCCCCCCGATGGTGGCGATATGTGAGCGTACGTGAGCGTTAAGATTTGTTGGCCGCAAGTGTTTGCAGCCGGACGGACAGACGGAGGACGATCATGCGATTCTACAAGCTGCATCCGACTACGTCAGATGAGCTAAAAATCTATGAAGTATGAAAATCGATATACTATCTAAGAAACGACGACTACTGAATTTTTTTTACGAAGCGAGCGATACCTCGACGATTGAGATGCGCTGATGTATTTTCCGACGCCCTCCTTGTAAATGCGAGGCTTGTCATCTCTCTTCACCTGCGGCTTCCCTTTAAGCATATCCTTCTCCTCAGCTTCCTTTGCTCGCTGCTCTGCCCTCTCCTTCGCCAACTGCCAACAGCGAGAGTTGCTACGGTTACGATCATGCGGCTTATGGTTACAGAACTGTCGTTGCTACGGCTACGGTCATCGCTACGGTTACACTTGTCGCTATGGTTACCGTCGTCGCTACAGTTGATTGTCGCTATGGTTACAGTCGTTGCCATGGTTATGGTCTTATGTGATATACACAGGCAACTCACTGTTAATTTCACAGGAGGTAGATCTAGCATTACCTGTTAATTATTTACACAGGTAGATCTAGCATTACCTGTTAATTATTTACACAGGTAGATCTAGCATTACCTGTTCATTACATTCACAGGTAGATTCTAGCATTACTGTTCATGTACGGGGTAGAATTAGCATTACCTGTTCATTGTACCGGTAGATCTACTCAGACCGTGTTTCATTAGAGCAGGTAGATATAAGGGCATTTACCTGTTCATTACACAGGTAGATCTAGCATTACCTGTTCATTACACAGGTAGATCTAGCATTACCTGTTCATTACACAGGTAGATCTAGCGTTACCGTGTTGCATTAAGCCAGGTCGATCTAGGCGTTACTGTTCCTTCAGCAGGTAGAGTTAACCTCGATCTGTTCATGTAGGCACAGGAGTATCTAGGCCAGGGCGGCGGCAAAGGGGGGCAGGCGGGGGGGTCGCCCCCCCCTATCATTTTGGCAAGAAAGGCAAGAAGAAGAAGAAAAGAAAAGAAAAGATATAGAAAAGAAAAAAAAAGAAAAGAGAGAAGGAAGAAGTAAGAAAAAGAAAAGAACATCTTTGCAATGTCTTGGCAAATGATGGAGTGGGGTGGGGGTCAGGCGCCCTCCCCTCGCCATCATTTGCAAGAAAAGGTTAAAGAAGAAGAAGATTCTTGCAAATTAAATAGGCGATTGGCCAAAAATGAGTGATGTAGGCCTACAAGCTGGAATCTCTTTTCACCGAAAAATGCGATAAATTAAGTGTCCGAAATTCAACTCCATATTAAAACTGTGTTATTTGATAACCGTGTTCAATGTGTTCTTTCGTTTGGGAGTCCAAGTTTGGGACTATCATTTGTCGATGATGCTGTTTTCCCGGCGGAAAGGTAGGCATTGAGGGTGTTAAACAACTTATAAATTATACTTACAACAACGTTTCGACTGACCTCTTAATTACTCTTACATGCTACTCTTATGGTTATGTGATCGGGTCTGTGCGTTCGTCGTACACGTTAGGTGCGCCGCCGCCGCCCGAGCGCGCGCGCGTGGAGTGTGTGTGTGTGTGTGTGTGTGGTGTGTGTGTGTGTGTGTGTGTGTGTGATGGCGATCGATATGTAGCCGGGCGTCATCAGCATGGCTGGGCTGACTGAGCGGCCGAGCGAGCATCATGTAGCTGGCGTTATATGCGTGGGTTATTGTGTGTTCGTGAGTCGTATGGCGTATGGAGTATGTCGCTGGCTAGAGGTTGCGCTCTTGCCGTAGAGTGGCCCTCTGTCTAGTTTTTAGTTAGTGATGTTGGTATCGCGCCCGCCGCGCTGCGGCGTGTGTGTGTGTGGTGTGCGTGTGCGTGCGTTCATCTCTACTCTGGGTTATAGTTTTTTCTCTCCTCTAATAATACAACATTATTGTTCAAAGTGCTAGCAGCATAATTTTAAGCATTGTTCGCGGCCCACAGTTTCGGAGACACCGCTCTTTTAAACGTGTCAGTTTCATAGCATTGAATTTGCAACGAAATCCTGCTAGTTCGGAGACGCCCCATTTTCCCCGACATAGCGCGATTCGCGAGCATACACATTCAACAAAGCATTAGTTTTTCAGAGACCAATGTGTTCAGGTCTTTAGTTAGATTCGGCAGAAGGCCGGTGCGCCCCCCCATTTTTTCCTTCGGCAGTATGGCACTACCAGATAGCCTAACCATAATGTGGGGTGAGTCGCGCCGCCGGGGTTTCATCGTCTTTTGGTATATGTTGTCCTTGTTGGCCCTGGGCACATTTTTTGTGCAGGCAATTTGAGGGCTTTGATTAGCTAAAGGCTTTGAGAGCTTCCCGACGCCCTGCCAGGGGCACTAAGGCGGGCCCGGTTGGCCGGATCATCAGACGTTGCGCCAAGTGATTGCGTACGACAGAGTTTCTACGAAATGTACGTACGCAAAGCTCGTAGGTGAGATTCATGCACGCAGCATAGCCTGCGTAGCAGCAAGTGATTGATGAATTGCCGGTGTAAAGGTCACTACGTCATCGTAGCTGCTGGCTGTTGAGGGGCGTGCTAGCTATCACATCACACTCGTGGCGACCATAACCATAGGAAGCAAACTGCGCCTCTCTTGTATGTAAACCATATGGTTCTAGCTGTCTACCAGGAGTGATGGGGGATGTGATAGTTTGTCCTCTTTTCGTTTGTATGATTGTGTTCACACTGCGTGAAAGCAGCGACACGTCGCGTGCGTGCGTGCGTGGGTGCGTGGCGTGTGCACGTACATGGCTGCAATGCCTCAGCAAAACCGATGCAACGATGCCTTTGATAGCGGCCCGCCATCTATCGGAATTTTATTACACTAGTTTGAAGTGTTGTTTTTTTGGGTTAGAAATAAACGTATGTATAGGACGTCTTGCTATGCACAAATGAATTTATCAGCAGAACACCAGACACCAGATGAGCCCTGTCGCTCTGCGGCATTTGTTTGTTGTTGTGGTCGCTGTTGATTTTGTGGTTGTTGTCCTTTTGTTCCATTCGTCGAGTGTGATTGCCTTCAATGGCAACAGCGTTGCTATGGTTTCTGCGAAGCATCTTTATCGACGTTTTTATGACTTCTGAGATTCGAGTAGAAATTTTTCCGATTTGTTTATGTTCATGTCGTTGTCATCGTTGTTGTTGTAACGTTGTTCATATTTTTTTCGTTGATATTGTTGTTGTATTTGTCATTGTCATTTTTGATGATGTTGTTGTTGCGCTTGTTGTCACTATGCTTGTTTGTTGTTGGTGTTGTTTACGTCGTCGTTCCTGTTACAGCACATCACAGAAGACGTCTGAGCCAGTGAAGAAGAAATCCAAGCAGTCAAGAGGATTCAGTGATTTCAGCGCATGGTAGCATGGCAGCGCATGCAGTAGCATGTGGCTCTCAGGTAGCTGTGTGATAGCGCGGCAGTGCGAGGGTGGCTGGTGGCTGTGAGATGGTGGGGCAGTGTGTGGGTGGCTGGTGGCTGTATGATATCGCGGCAGTGCGTGGGTGGCTGGTGGCTGTGAGATGGTGGGGCAGTGTGTGGGTGGCTGGTGGCTGTGAGATGGTGGGGCAGTGTGTGGGTGGCTGGTGGGGCAGTGCGTGGGTGGCTGGTGGCTGTGAGATGGTGGGGCAGTGCGTGGGTGGCTGGTGGCTGTGAGATGGTGGGGCAGTGTGTGGGTGGCTGGTGGCTGTGAGATGGTGGGGCAGTGTGTGGGTGGCTGGTGGCTGTGTGATAGCACGGCCGTGCGTGGGTGGCTGGTGGCTGTGTGCTGTGAGATGGTGTGGCAGTGGCGTAGGTGGCTGGTGGCTGTGAGATGGTGGGGCAGCGTGTGGGTGCTGGTGGGCTGTGAGATGGTGGGGCATGCGTGTGGTGGCTGGTGGCTCTCTGGTGCAGTCCTAAACCATTCACTACAACAAACGTCTCACTGTGTGACCATCTCTCACTCGATATCGCTGCGTTAATGCTCTTACCTATAATCAGGAGTCAGATAATAGGGTTAATAAGGATTAATAGGGGATATCATTCGCTATTATCTACTACTTGATAATAAATTGTACAGAAAATGTCAAAAGATAGGTATGCAGTCAGTAAACGCCTTGTGGACACCTGGATCAGGTCGATTCAAGACCTGCTCTCTCTGCACCCTCTCAGCTCTCTCGCATCACTCGGTAACACCTGCAGTTTGTCGATAAGTGTACATAGAATTTGCAATGCAGAGATATCGAATGATATCAGTATTCGTTGGATGCCGCGCAAAGCGTACGTAATGATGTAATGGCACAATAGATTATTGGCGTCGCATAGAATGAATAATGAAGCCTTGCGCAGATTGAATAAGCTTTCAAGCTGATGTCAGCTTGCAGCTGGATAGTGGTGACGTGACGTTGCCACGTGTCTTGTGCGCGATGTACCGTATGCGTTTCTCTGCTGTCACTGGTTTGTACTGTTAGGCTCGTTTACTCTACGACATTATGGTTGTTAAATAGCAGTTGGACCAATTTCGGCAAATTCGGCAGACCACCGCAGTTGGCGGAAAATAGAAGCATGTTCTGATCTCCCAACTAGTTGCTATCTGATTCGGTTGCTTCGCGCGGACTTTTTTGGCGTTTTACACTGGCGATTGTCGTTTGTATATAATTGTGAAATTGTCCAATTTGCCGATTGAGCAACATAAAGTGCAGTAGTGTAAAAACCCAGCTTTACTCTCTACAGTGCAATCTACTAATAACGAGGGCATGTCACTCTTCAAAACCTGCACCTAGAGTTTATGGCGGGCAACTTTGCCAAGGAAACGATGCGTGTGTGTGAAATTATTTTGGCAATGCGACGAGGAACAATCTGTTTATATTCGACTCTATGACCCTTTCCGTCGCGGAGGGCACACGTTGAGTGGAGTTCGTCAGTTTATTTGTAATTTTGTGTTTGTTAATAAATTGTTGTCAGGTCTTTCGAAGAACGAAATTGGTTTTTCGGAGAAATAAAATTTGTTGCATCTCATGCTCGTGGTTGAATAAACATAAATGGCAAGCGTTTGATCAATGCATCATCATCCCTCATTATCGTCATTTGTCATGCATCGTCATCATCATCATCATCATCATCATCATCATCATCAATCATCATCATCATCAATCATCATCATCATCCATCATTTAAGATCACCACGCATCAGTCATCATCATTGCCATTTATCATCATCATACTGCCGGTCATGCATCATCACCCCCCCCCCCCCCCCCTCTTCATTATGCCGCATCATCAATCCATCATCTTCATGTATCATCATCATCCAGCAGCAGCAGCAATACAATGTTACCCATTACTAATAAGGCTCTTTGATGTACCCAAGCCTCATGGAAACATGAACAAATCGTTCTAATTGAAGTTTTTGATGATATTTCTAACTTGATGGAGAGCCACCTGGGTATAAAAAATAACACCGCGTTTCGTACGCGTAGCACAAAAGCGGCGCGTCGGCGGCGTTTTTTTTTATCATCCGTTGTTCCTCTCGTCTGTTTCCCGCACACAGTGAATTTCCGTCTTCTTTTCGCTTTCGCAACAGCTGGTTTAAGCTGGCAGGCCTATAGTTTAACACTAAAGCGCCAGAGCAAGAGGCAGCGATGGTGATCACGATCTGTTTACAGGATGCTCGTTGGTGAAGTACGTGGGACCAGAGCGGACCGCGGGTAAAATTGTAAGAGGCCGAGATCCG